TTCTGAATTAAAGTGGGTTTTCTGGGGCTGTTTCAGTCTCTCTTCAAGGTTCGTGGCATCTGAGCAGCTACTCTTCTTTTCTCCTGGGACTTTTTCAGCATCCCTGTTTGTTTCTTCCCATCTCCAAGGCTATTCTCTGTTGCTCTTTTAGCCTGTCTCCTTTCTTAGCAGCTGCAGCCATACCCTCGTAGTGTTTTTTCAGGCTTCCTACTAGCTGCTTTGCCTATTTGAGGCTACCCTCTGTTCTCTGAGGCATTTACAGATTTTGGCTCATTTTCCCTTCTTTGATGCTGCTCTTTGGGGCACTTTTAAGCTTTTTTTTTTTTTTCTTTTTTTTTTCAGTCTTCTCTGAGGCCACTCTTGGTACTATTGAGTGCTCTGGAGCTCCTTCAGTATCTCTGATAATTTCTTGTTATCTCTTCAGTATTCTCTGGGAGGTCCTTTGCCTTGCCTCTTGATCCCCCTTCTTGATCTCTTTGACATTGCTACATTTTGTTTCCTTGAGCACTTACAGGCTTTCTTCCCTTCCTTGAGGCTACTTTATGTTCTCTAAATCTCTTTTAGACTCTCTATTGCTTTGTTGGCTTCTGCTTCGCTCTAGTTTTGTCTGGGGATCTTTCAGACCATCGTCTACTTTCCTGGCATTTGGAGGGCTATTCTGTGATCTTTCTCTATCTCAGTGTTTAATCAATTTTCATGGTTTCTCTGAGATTTCTCAATGTCCTCTGGATATATTTCAAGTTCTATACTAATTTGTCCTCCCTTTGACTATTCTGTATTCTCTGATATACTTGCAAGGCTATATTGCCTATATTGCCAGGCTCTCAAAACCACTTTACTGTTCTTTGGGGATCTTTCAGAACTATTTCTGGTTTATTATTGTTTTGAAGGAGGATGGGGGGGGGCGCGGATCTTTTCAGAGATGCAATAGCTTCAAGAGCTCTGGACTTCAACTGAAGTGGAGTTGGAATAGATCTCTGTGAGTCACCTTTTGGTGTTTTTTTTTTTTTCCCCTTTGGTTTTGGTGGTAGTTATGGTTAGGAGAGAAATGAGCTCAAAGAGGCACCTTTTAAAAAATCTTTTATTTTTATATCATCCTAGTAAAAATCTTTTATATAAAGGCGAAAGTAGGTATTGCATAGAAGAAACACTGGTGCAAACATCACCTGGTGGGAATGGCATGTTGTTTCTTAGTGTCTACTATCTACTGCACAACAGATGGCTAGCCCATAGGCAAACATCTCCAGGCTTCCCCATACCAGCTGTAGGATGAAGGTGCTCACCTCTATGGAAAGAAGTTACATCAGAATTATGTATGCCCCACTCCATGCTGCTCCCAAGAACCATCTGCTTGGAAAACACCCTTTTTCTCTTTGTCTTTTCTATGCCTGACCAATCCATTGCCCAAGAAAGACCACGAGGATCAGTTCAGCTGTCTTCTGCTTGCACCCTTCCTGTGCGTGAGTTTGCATTTCATGCATACAAATGGGGAGGTGGACACAGGATAGGAGAGTTGGCCTAACATGACCACAGTCCAGGAACTCAATGCATGACATATACAAGGCATCTTCTGTCATCTTGGAGACACTTATGCCATTGTTTTTATCATCTCACCTGCTACTTCACTATGGGCACTTCTTTTGAGTGCCCTCCACCTGGGCTTCCTATAACTAACAAGCCTTGGTACCACCAGGAAGGAACAGAATTCACTGCCATGACTTCAGTAGCTTTCAAGTAGAGGTTCTTCAAAGCAGTTCTCCTATTATGACTCTGCTTAAGTTCTGCTGCAGCTTCCAAGCATGAAGCACAGTGAGACAGCAGTGGAAGGAACACTCAGAGAAACTTTCACACACTTGATCTGTTCTTTCATGAATTAGAGATACAGAGAGGTATGCATTTATACAAATAGATATTTGTGTATATTAAAGATACTTTTACTCAGTATCAGTTTTTATTTAAAAACATGCTAAAAACTTAGAGTTAAATAATCAGAGTGACATTTGGGGAAAACACACAGACAGCCGCCCACCAGCATTAGCAAAAAAAGTGCATACATACATGAGCCAAAGCTCCCTTCGACCAGTTTACAGGACAGTTAGTGCCTTCTCTGACAAACTGACTGATGCAGCCTCACACTTTCCAGGGCTGTTTTTTGTTGCCTAGAAAATGGCATTACTTTTCTGCTTTCAGGATGTCTGTCATCACCTCCCACATCACCAAGTCAGCTAGAAACACAGATCAGTCCTGCTTTTGACTCCCTTCCTGTAGGTGGCTTCATAGAGATGAATGCATGAAGCTCGTGTAACTATCTCACTTAATACTGTGCTTAAAATGCCTAAAGTAGTCATTACAAAAAGATTTCAGGACCTATGCTGCTAGATCGTGAAATGGAATGAAGCATTCTAGAAAAATAAGTTTGGATGGAAGGCAAAGTAGCTGAGTTTGCAACTACACACTTCATCTCTGAGTTACTCATAAACATTTTTTATTTCCTTATTACTTTCACTAATATATTTTATCATTTTTTGTACAAAAACTGACTGCAGATTAAAACTTAAGATGCGGCAGGTACCACTGTGCGACCCAAAAGGACACAGATGATGCTCCTGCTCAGCCCTGCACCCTGATCTTTTTGAATGCCAGAGAAAGCTAGAGAAAGCTTAAGCACCTCTGCCCAAAGGGACAATGCAGTGGAGCCATCAGATGAAAAATCGTCCTGTCTTTTCTTGCAAAAATGGGAACGCATCTTAGCAACTTTGGATACAGTCTTACATGTAGCAGCAAGTACACTGGACATCAGAGCCCCTTCTTCAACATGGAACATCCATCTCCAGTGGGGCTCAGATGCTCCTGGTCCCAACTTTTGTTAGAAATGGAAGTAAAACTGGATGCAGTTTCTGTGCTTCCCCTCTGCTTCTTCCCTGATTCTTTCAAAGGCAATCCAAATGAAATAGCTGAACCCGTATGGCATTGTCTGCTTCAGTGGAAAACTAGAGCCCTGTAAAACTTTGGGCATTGTGCTCATATGGGCAATGGCCATGCTCTAAGAATAGTAACCTCCTTCTTCACTGCAACACCCAAATTCATCTCTATATCTCCCACACATTCACACTCCTTCCTGTCACATTGATTTCATAGGAACTCAAAAAAGTGACACGTAGGCCACACAAAACACTACTGCTGCTAGATGTACAGATACATGCAGGACCTACTAGGAAGATAAATAGGGGACTAAAAACTCCCAGATATGAAGTGGCTCAACAGCTATTTCAGCCCACAAGGAAAAGATAGGCTGAATGATACAATGAAAATCATATCTTTTAAGAGTTTAAAGTATAAATATTGAGATTGGACATTAAGAGAAATTTGTTTACCAGAGGAGTACTTTGACATGGCATGGCTCTGAAAGGCACAAAATCTCCATCCTCAACAGTTTCTGAAACTCAGCCCAATAATGTCACAGTAAACCCCATCTCACACAGATGACAGTCCCCCTTTGAGAGTGACATTGGATGAGGTAACCTCTGAAGGTCACTTCTGACTGCTGCTAATACAAAAAAGCAGTGTTTCTTTCAGAGCTGAGGCGAGCCCTGACTGGAGTTAAATCAGAACATCCTCCAATGCCTGAGCCTTTCCTTCTTCACAAAACAGTGAAAACCTGGGACAAAGGGTAAATGGGGGCTGCTTGCAATGGAGCAGCATTGAAACTACAGAAATATATGTTCAAGATTTCTAACGGGAATGTTGGTAAAAACATGCATTGCAGTGAACTCTGAACTATCGCACTGGATGGACTTGGCAATCCATCAGCAAGAACCAATTCTGTACCTAAGGTGTGACAACACATACTGTCTCTGAGTGCTGTTTTGGAAATTGTCCCTTTCCTGCATCATCTGGTCACCCTTAATCAAACCACCTTTTCCAGCTCTGGGAGACAGCTGTCATCTGCCTGAGGAAACCCTTTTAATGAAGGGCATGGCATGACAATGTTGCCATCAAATTGCCATCCCCTTCCCTCATATCCAGCAACATGTCATGCCTTGGACAAACTTTTTGAAACAGACAACACAATCTGTGAAGTCTGCTGCCAACTGGCCAGTAGGTCAGACTGTAATCTCTCTCCTTTGTGCCAGGGAGCAGTAAATTGCTTACTCAGTACTTCTAGCTTTCAAAGTAGCATGACATCAAAGCAGCCAGAGACTGCTTTGGGTGAGTGAAGGCATTGGAACTTAGCCTCACAGGAGCAGGAAGCTCACCATCTGGTCCAATGGGAAGGCATTGCATTTCATCTGAGGAAAGAGCCTCTGATATGAAAGGAACCACCTTTGTTACAGTATGGGCATCAAGGCCCTGATAAAGGTAGAAAATGCCCCCCCCCCCGGGACTTGAGAAAAGTTATGCGTTTATTTCCCTGCAACAACTGTCAACTTTGAAAAACATACCCTCTGGAGATCGCACAGTGGTTCCCAAATTAATGTACAATAAATGTGTAAAACCAAAAACAGTAAGAAGTTACAAGTCAGGCAACTAAATTCTAAGCTATATCCATCATAATAATCATCATCATCATTATAATAATAAAAAAGTATACACCGTAAAGTACAAGAAGCTGCAAAGCAAAGCAGCTCCAATTCCTAGGACTCTCAGAGTGGCTTTTCCGAGTCTTCCAGTAAATTGGACACAAGGGTTGAAAACTTAATGGAAGACTTTGAAGAATTCTCCCTTGAACACACATAATTTTTGCACATATATCATGGATTAGTAGAGCAAAACATTATCTGAAGTTAAGAAACATTCTTAGAGCAGATCTATGATTTTGTGTAGAAAATCCATTTGTTTGGGAGGTTCCCCCCTCTTTGGCAAATAAATGGCAAATGTGAAACAGACAAAAAAATGAGTCAAATAACAAGTTGTGATAATAACTGGACAAATAACAACAAGGTAGATCGGTCAATGGGACGGATTCCCTCAGCAGGGCTAGGCTTGATACTCTTCGTGGTCATTCCTTTTGTTCATTTTTATGATGAGACAGAAGGGTTGATGTGATAATGTTTCAGAGGCTTTAGGCATCGTATTTTTTGCCAGTCCTGTGAATCTGTTCATGGAGAAGGCCATGCCAAGAATCTGAAGGAAAATAAACAATAAGGGCTTCAGTACAGGGAGGCTGCCAAAACTGCACTTCTCTCTGACTTGTGTTCATGGTCCAGCTGTAGTTTTAAAAGTCATTCTACACTAGCCATATTTCTCAAGCTTCAACATTGATCACTAAAATTGGATGTATTTTGTTCAGGCCCACAGCGATGTCTGGAGATGTATCTGTCAGAGCACAAATGGAGACAAAAAGCTCTCAGGGCTCTTTGTCATATGTGCAACAATTTTTCAGACATACAAGTCACTCTTCCTTTTTACCCAACAACTTGTGCTTGTTTAGCCAGATAACTGTGACTGAAAACATCAGATTCAGGTATTCTGCCCTAAAAGTACATCAGTGATACAGGAACCCCAAAACCTTAACAGATTATGATGATACTTCTGCATTTCTTTTTTAAAAGACTTGTTAACCTACTCAGTTCAGTGGCCATGATTTGACTCATTCTGGCAATTTCTAGAACTTGCTTCCAAGATTTTTAAAAAAAGTTCCCTAAGGGACATGGTAACAAATGACTAAATATGGGAACTCCAAAGTGGTGCTCTGAAGTCAAAACGCAGGTAAGCAAAACCCCACTGTATCATGTCTTCTTTGTGGGACTGACTACTGATGGCCTTAAATGAACTCTTAAAACCAATCTGACATTTTTGAAATCATGATCAAACTTAAAGGGGTTGAGCACCACTTTTCACACAGCAGAATCAAGAATGCTGACAGCAAATCAAAGCCATGGTGACAAATATCATACCAGTATTACCTGCATTATGAGGATGCACATCCCAATCGAACCAAGGACATGCTTATTCTCATCGAACCATGTCATAACTCTCTCATAACATCCCTGGAACGACAAAAGATGAAAATTGAAATCCCAAGGTCACATTTTCCTTTCACATGCATTCCTTCTATTTTCTTCCTTCCCACCCTTCCCTAAGCCTTGACTGAGCAAAGCAAGCCTTACCGTTTTCCACACTAATTCGGTGGAGTTCCGTCCACAGTCTTGGGAGTTTTCTGTACAACATCGGTCTGGGACTGTGTTTTCTCCCAGCACTGGGTACCAATCCGTAAAGTCATTCACACCACAGCATTTCATCTATCACAAAAGTAAAAGATTAATAAATTAACTAGCACAATTTGTGAATCGTGCACCACCACAAACTTTTACTTCCACTAAACCACTGTATATTTTCAAAAGGGCTGCCACAACACTATTGTATTTTTAAAGTGCTTCATGCTCAGTGATCACTAAAAGCAAATACCTAACAACATAAAAAACGCCTCAAAACCTAAAAGAAAGTAAATGGTCCCATGCCCAAGGTATGTTAGTCTTCTTGTCAGAGACATTAGCCCAAACACCAAAACATAAGGTAATCTGCCCACAACTGCTGAAGGGCAAAAGCCTAGCAGCCAAAGCTGCAGTTCTACCTATGCAGGTTTTGCTGCTTCTCCTCTGTTTCAGATCATCTCTGTGCCTATGATAGGCACAGAAAATCTCAGAGAGAGGTAAGCATCTTTCACCTTACAGAGTACACTTTGATCCTGGGTTTCATAGTACTCCCTGGATGTTCAGGAGTGCAAAATCAGAAACCAAAGCCTGCATTAGCCACCTTTTAGACTTGGCATGGATGCCACAGTTAACAGACTGCAGCAGCTTTTATGGTCAAATTGTTGGGGTTTTTTTTTCTACTGAGAAAATGTTACCTCTGCTTGAATGATATTCCATGCATTTTTCAGTCCAACATTGTTTTCTGAATTGTATAGCTTCATACCTTCCTTCAAATCCTTCTTTGCACTCTCACTGACCTGCATCATGTAAAAAATACAGAAAGTCAATGCACTGCTGTTCAGAGGAAAGGACCAAATGGTACAGACTTGCATATAGAATGCATCTCTCTCAACTTCTCTCACCACAAATTTAACATAGGTAGAAAAGCTCCATCATAGCTTCAAGACTCTCACAAGTCAGTGGGACCTTTCAGCATCTGCCAAGGCCTAGTCTCTCCCTCAGACTGCAAAATACTGGATTAATTCTTAGGAGACAGGAGACCAAGCAGCTTCCCCTCTACTACGAGTCCATCATACCGTCATCATCTGATCCAAACTAACTGAAGAGTGTTCAGCAGAAATCTGCAGAGCTTACTTTAACTTTGCCAGGTAGCTGTTGGCAAAACCCCACAGCAGCCTCTCCTGCCTGTAACTTATAGCCTACTTTAATTTGCTAATATCAAAAAAACAGAGTCCCAGCCTCCCAACCTTAACATAGTTATCCCTTGCACTGGTTCAGGCAGGCTATAATAAATAGCCAGTACAAAAATCAATTGAAAAAAGGGCGTTATTATTGTTCTCCTTGTGGGGACAGGCTTGTAGGATTTATGATTTTCAAATGAGCTCTTCTTTCTTTAAAGGAGAAAGCTGGAATGCTTAACAGGAGATCTGAGATGTCCCATTTCTTATATAAATTTCAGTCTGAGCCTGGAGTCCTGGATGCAGGTAGGAATGTACTTTGGGTCTGACAGCAGTGAGCTGGCAGCCAAGAAAGGATTAACCTATGGGTCCTGGCATAAAGGTCAACTATAAGATCTGTTTCATCCCTCTTTGACATCCCATTCAAAATCAGAAGTTCACCCCAGCTCCCTGAAAGTGGCAGGCATCCTAATGCCAACCTGGGAACAGATACAAATCTGGTAGGAGTTCAGTTTTAAAATCAGTCTGGTTATGCTCATACTGTAAGGCTCTGCCCTGTGTTTAGCAGAGTTCTTCAGTTCCCCAAGGATTTTTCCAGTCTTACCTATCTGACAAGCCAGCCAGTTGTGCCTACTTCACTTAGTCTCTACTAGACAGCAGATTCCTACAGATGGGCTTTATGAGAAGCTGCCTCTTGATCCACTCTGCACCCTTGTCAAACTCTCTGGGACTGCCCAATCAAGTGAGCGAGCTGGTGGCATCTGGAATAACCTGTGAGATCCCAGGCCTCTCTCCTCCAGCCCTGTTCAAAGGTTGGCCCTGAGAAGCTAACCAGGTCTAAGTAGGACCTCCCACAACCCAGGTCCACAAGATGATCAGCTTCTTGCAGAGCCATCAAACAGCTATGTTGAAGGCTATCTTAGCTTTTAGGAGAAGACTAAAACAGAGGCCCTGGACCATGGGGGAATTATTTCACGGAGGAAATTGTAAAGCTCAGCAGGCTCTTCTCTCCTGTTTGCCCTCATTGCTTCTTCCTCCTCTTGCAGAAGCAGTTTACAGAAAACAGCCAAGATCTCAAGGTTAAACCTTCACCAAAGGGAAAAGCAAGGAGAACCCACATACTTCCATCAAACAAAAGCAAACTGAACCTGGTTTACATGCTAGTACAGATAATTAATCTATACGGCATATTTGCTTACCTTGTCCATATAAACAAAGAACAAAATGAGTAATATCAGCTCCGCCAGGAGAATTATCAGCAAAACGATGAAAAACTAGAACAAAGAAAAAACAGACAGTGTATACACACTTGCCAACTAGAGAGCAAACCTGGGGCTGCTAGAAACTCTGAAAACTATAGGCCTTGTCCTCTAAACCTTTCCTCCTCTACTGCCAAAAACATGCAAGTTTGATTTCAAACTATTCAGGAATATTGATACTACATTGCCACTAAAACTCCTATATGTCTCACCATCAATGAGGAAGCTCACTGTCTAGCTTAGGTTTTGCCCTACTACCAGTTTGCAGGTTTCAGCAATGCTTTTGTCTTGCTTTTTTTGACTGCTGTCACATCACGCAGCCCTGGTAGTCTCTTTCCTTCATACAGACTACAGAACAGATGCTAAACCCATTACCACAAAGATCAATGTGACGTGTCTCAGGAGTGACTCCCTAGCAGGTGGGCTTTAACCACATCTGACTGCATGTTGGAATAGTCATTATGTTACTCAGCACTTCTATTTCCAACTCTCTGTAGCTGAAATCTCTCTTTGCAGGGACATCCCAAGTGTGAGCTCCAGTAGTTTCTCACTACTTTTCATGCCCACTAGTTGCCTTTATGTACTAGTGGACTGCTACATAAGGCATGGCATCCCCCATACAGACAAGGGGAGATGTAGTATGCAGTGCAGCAAGCTCTCCAATCAGAAACTCATGATAGTCATGATAGCATAAAAAGACTTTTGCAGAACCTTGTAAGAATACAAACACTCTTAAAAAAATAACCAAAAAATTCAGCTGGTGTTGCAGTTTGTGTGATAAACAACATAGACCTCCTTACTATTCTCCTTTTCCTGTACAACATACATACAAAACCAAGCAGCAGAGAGCAAAAAAAACAGGTGCTCATTTGTCCTCCAGTTTAATTCTCTGAGGTGGTCTAAGGAATACTGCCCAATACTGTTCCCCAACACCATGTAAGGGAGACTTTCACACAAGGAAAACTCACATGCTCCTCAATGTCACAGCACCTGTGATTCATAAGCTGTGACTGACTTGGAAGCTAGCTGCTTTGAAAGCCTTCCTCTCACCTTCTGCCACAATACTTCCCTCCTCGGGGTGGGGAGAAGCATGATGAAGCCTCCTGGGTTTATGCAAGAGGAGGGACCCACACTGTGTTTTCTGAGAAGGGTTCCCAACCTCTGTGCTTCAGTGCTGGACGAAGACTGCCAAGGATCAGATTATTATTTTTTTAATTGGTAAGGCCTGGCAGAGACCCTGACTTCTTAACTTTGGGTCAGATGGTTTCCACCAACCTCTGACAAAGGTCTTTGATCAGGGCAAAGTAGAGAATATCCATGAGAGGCTTTGAGTGGCATCCCAAAGCAGCTGTGCTTAAGATTTTTCAGTCAATACTTCTAATAGAGTTTTCCAGAAGGGCTATCCAGGTTGACCCTACAGTTCATCTTTAACCATTCAGAGGTAACTGATAGTAATTTGCTTTGCTAATACATTAGAGCACACAGGATAAATGTTCTAATACACCAATGGTATCACTGTGACCAAAGCTATGGGATGTCATACTGCAAGCATACAGAACATTGAAAGCCGAAAGCAATGTTACAGTGATCCACAAGACAATTTTGCACTGGACATTTAAATAAAATAATAACAAAACAACAGTCACTGGTCTTAGTGAGAAGAAGTACTGATGTCTTACACTCAATAGGAGGCACTTGTTTTCCTTGATAGCACCTAGGCAGCCCAGAAAGCCGGTCACCATGATGACTGTACCAATGGCAATGACTAGGTTGGCAGCTGAAAGCGATGGAAAGCTAGGAGAAAATGTGGCGAAGTTTCCTTGTGACACTGACAGCCAGATGCCCACACCCAGCAGCCCACAGCCACATAACTGGAAAGAGATAAACAAAAGAAAGGTTTCAGCATTACAATAAATGGCACTGGCTCCTTCCCCCCCCACACTCTGAAAGGAAAGAATTTCTCAAGCAAATTCTCAGGTAACTGTTCTGCAGTAATGCTCTCACTGGCTTGGTGCTGAAACAACGTGAAACTAAATGTTCTTACATAGACTTGGTCATGTCACCTATACCTATAAATTTATTCAAAAGCCACTGGATGGTAGAATTCTCTTTTTAAAGACACAGCACATGAAACCAAGGCTACCCATTGATCTCCCAACAGCAATTCTTCTGTAGGAAGATAAAAAAACATTATTTGAAAGAATGCTCCATTACACTTATTTCTGCAGTCATCTACAATGTCTCAGAGTATCCAGCCCTGTACTTCCTCATCCTAGGGCAGGCAAAGAAGTCCTGGAGTTAATTACAATCAATAGTATCAGTTCAATAAATATTTGTCATAAAATGCTCAGTCCCAGTAGCCAGGTTGGGTTTGAGTTCTCATAGCTTTACTGTTGCTTGCTAGTGTTCAATGTCACAAAAATCAGATTTCTAGGTTTATTATCTATAGGAAGCTTAACTTCTGCTACTCTCAGTGAGAGAACCTGAAGGAAATGAAAAGCTGCTAATAAAACATAAAACTAACTTCATTTTGCTTCTCACTCGTATCAATACCATGTCTGGTTAAGGAAATGAGGTTTCTTACTCTAAGTCACGGGGCAGGTCTTCAGAACAATGGCCAAGTGTTGCACTACAGAGGGCCTAAAAGCTGACCATCTTTTAGTACTTGCTCAAAATGGCTGTTATACAACTTCCCATCTGATCTGTGATCACTGTGCAGTGAAATTGGGAGTAGTAGTTAGTTGTGCTTTCACCAATTCTGTGAGCTGCTAAACAGAACTATTACAGTTCCCTGCCAAATCTAGCCTTTGCCAAGGTCAGAGATGAAATTCACATCACCTTCACGGGCAGGGGGATCAGAGTACACACCTACCCACACCCATCCCCATACCCCCACCCCCCAACTCACAGTATTTTGCTCCAATTTACTTGGACCACTGCATAGGAAAAACAAAACAGCACCTAATCATTCGTCCTGTTGATATCCCAAAGCTGCTGATGCTCACCTGTCAGCAGTGAGGAACAAAAGCTCTGGCCATCTAAGGTTCACCACACCAGTCCACCCCATTGTGCTTGCATAAACTTACAACTTTTTTACTCAATGGAAACGCAAGGTCAGAGAACAGTACCTCCACTAAAACAGGGTTCAATCCTGTCTTGTGATGAGCACTAATCTAGCATGATGAAGAGCTACAGACCTAATTTTTTAGCACTTCTGTCTGAGGTGATTTTACCAGCAGGGCAGATAGTTCAGGGTACAAATGGCTCCTTTTGGTTTTGCTGCTTCACAGCACATGAAAGAAAAACTACAATAGTATCTTCTTGCATTCATGTCACCTTATCTATGAGTCAGGCTTATGTTTTCATAATCACATGCATGGTTATTTTCTTTTACTTCCCCTGTGACTCTTCTGTCCCCTCTGAGCCCCCCTCCTAGTTTGCTTGAAGCTTCTGAAACTGCTTTGCATCTAGGGTGATTTAGCAGTTTGGTGAAGAATTGTCACCAGGATAACCTCTCCTTATGCAAGATGCTCACAAGCATTCCCATGGGAGGCAGAGTAAAGCATCTCCCAGTGTACCAAGCCCACAAGAGCTAACATCATGAAAAGCATAAAATATACGGTTGTGTAGGCAAAGAAAGAGAATAAGAGATGGAGATTAACTACACTGCATTGGCTGTTATTTCCAGGCCCCCTTGCACCGAAGCATTAGCTTAGCAATCTGAAGAAAAACCCCACAACTGTCTAAAGCTCACAAGCACATGCATTGGTTAACAAAGAGGACATTTTCAGCATTCCTGTAAGCACCTCTGCTTCCAAATCTCAACACACAATAACTTCAAGAGAGTGAGTTGGGGAGCTTTGCATCACTGGGCATGGATAAATGTCACAACATCTGTCTCCTGTAACAAAGCTGGGTGCAGCTGCAACATGCGTGTGTGTAGCACAGCTACTATCCCTATGAAAAGACTGGTACAAAACATACACACATGCATGTGGCAGGAAAGGGCTACAAGACTTTTATCTCTTCCCCCAAATCTGTCCTCTCCAATTAATAGTCTTGAAGTGATTTCTCATTGCCTTTCATGGTATGTCAGCAGGGTCAATGTGAAATTGGAGGAGTAGAGAACTGTGGGGGGTTGCAAAACAGAAGTCTCCTGATCACATCCTGCTGCAGGACCCAGTGGACATCACCACAGGTTTAAACTGTCTGCAGTTCATGGAATCAGTCACCCTGCTTTAAATTTCATCTTCTCTGTCCTTGAATTGCTGCAGTTTAGGTGCCTCAAGCCCTCTCAGGAATCCACTCTGTGGCTCAGCTGCTTCAACCATTAGATGAGACCTGCAGACAGTTGCTCAGGCTGAAAGCTTGATGGTTCAGGAGGTTAGAAGCATCTCAACACACAACATTCATTTAAGGTTTTCAGTGGCATTTCTAAGCTGCCAGGGCTGTACATTTCCAATAGCTGATGGCACTCCAATCAATGACTTCATGACACTCCATGGATGAGACTGTAAATGTTTCTGCAGAAGTTTCTACTACCCCTGCCAAAGACTGAAATTGTTCAATGTAACTTTCTTTCAGAACCTGAACTCAGACTTTAAAGGTTTTTCACAAATGTGTTCCTTGGACTTTCATACTTTATGAGGCTCAGAAAACACATCCCTAGCTCAAGTGTTTTGAAAGAGGGTGATAAATTCTGGAATCATCAGGCCAAAAGCAATAGATCATTGCAGATAAACAAGTAAGAGCAAGATCAGGAGAAAAGGCTTACAGAGGAAGGGCAAGTAAAAGACAAAAAGGAGCACATGCGATCAATGGAAAGATCAGCCCATGAAGAGTTGCACCTCAGTTTCCAACTCCAATTATAAGGATAGAAGCAAAAGAGGTAGAAGAAAGAAGCCCACCAGAATCTCCTGACCCCTGGAGAAGAACCAACACAATCCTTGGGTCTAGAACTGAAAGGTGGCTACAAAATGACTCCAGCAGGCTCTCGTTTATTTAAACAAAGTTAGAATCAACGAATTTCTTAGATGAGGGAAGGGAGAGCTGTAAGAAATCAGGAAAGTAACAGGCCCACTGGTGCTCCACGGGATGGACATGAAGGCCAAAAAGGAACAAGAGCAGAAGGAGAATCAAAGCTGAAGAGCAGGAAAATGGATAGATGTCCTCTGTCCCTCTGACAGGGTCTAAGCTCAGGAGACGCTCTATATACACTTCCATACAGGAGAGATCATTTCTTTACTTGCTTGTGGTAGCCTCCCTACCATTTTGGTAAACTCAAGAGCAAACAACTTTGCTTTTTGCAGAAGACTGGTCACCTACTGCATCTTTATCTTTCCACAATGCCTCTAGCAGGAAAGAAGCACTCAACACACGACTTGAAACATTTTCAACAAAGGTCTTGTAGATTAGCAACATGCCTGTGCTGTCCCTAGGCAGACCATTTTGGAGATACAGCTCAAATGCCAGACATCTGAACATGTTGGGAGAAGAGTCTTTTACAATGCAAAATGAAGTGGTATGTCAGCTGAAGCAGCAGACATGTCTACATTTGCTCTTTCTTCCTGCAATTCTAATGTCCCTATGAAGACAACCATGGAATAACTCCTTTCCAACTGCCGTAGTGATAGGGTTAACATGTCAAACTGCACAATATGATTAGAGTTCCCTTCAGAGCTTTCTGACAACACACATTAGTGCAGTACCACACAGCACTGATCACGCACTTACCATGGCTGATTCCCAGACCCACTGGGCAAGGTAAGGCAAGTTCCCCTTTTCACGTTCCAAAGTAAGATTTCTCCATCCCTAAATTACACTGGAAGTTCAGATTACATAAAAAATAAGGTGATGGAGTGGCTATTAAAGACCAAGGCTGATCTATGCAAACAGGATTATCTACAGTGACAGAAGAGAGTAAATAGTCAAGACTTGGAGAGATTCCATAAAAGACATGACATCCTAAAAACTTCCACAAGGTGGCATCTGATACCAAATAGCACTAAAAGTTTAAGTCGAATTATTCTCTCCTCTCCAGAGCTTCTCAATTTTTGTGCTTTCTTCTCTGTTTTTATCTCTGTCATTCTATTGAGTAGCATTACTGTTAATGCTAAAATTTATGCTTTAAACCTTAGGTCCTGGCCAAATGCTTTTTCTCACTCATGTATCCTATAAAAATCCCAAATAAGTCCACTGACTTGGGACTTAATTGCATACAACCATACCAACCAAAGCTAGCTAGAATTCTAGCAATAAAATAGCTTTCCCTGACACTTTGTTCTCTACCAATCTAATTTTCTACACAACATGAACACTGCAAAAATGTTCTCACAGCTATTTATTCTCACAGGATCTACCTCTTTCTGTTTGGTACAACTGAATCCTGGAGGGTGAAAGCAGCAAAAATATATTAAGTCATCTTATTAATTTCTTTTCCACCATATAATTAAATAATATATGCTACTTGGTATTTAATTGCATGAGAGTGATGGCTCTGACATTCCTTCCCCAAGGAAATGGTTCAACAGCATAATAAATTTCACTGGATTTTTCTTCTCAAAATATGTTGGCTCATTTCCCTCTCATGATTAGAAATTATCATCCTCCAGGCAACCATCAAACTTCTCCTTCTCCTGGTGTTTATGTCATGAAGGTAACTGCAGAACACTATCACAAAGTCAGTCACATAGATGGATACACACACTCTTACTTATAGGGTAATTTAGTCAAGCTATGGCACGCATATTTTGAGCTTGAAAGCAAACAAAAAGAACACCAATTTTCCTCACAGTTTTTCCCTCACTTTGCTATTTCACTATCAAAGCCTGAATTCTCTTCAGTACCTCAACATCCATATGTCATCATCGCTGTGCCCAGAAAACATACAGCATTCTAGGAAACATTAAAGAGAGTCTCGAATGTTTCAAGAGAAATTAGTATT